CGATTGGGGAATTCTGGGAGTTGAAGTCCACACATCTTAAAGCTGCCAAGGTTGAGAAATGTTGCTCTAGAGTCAAGCTTGGCAACAGGAGGAGCCTCTCCTGGCCCTTCGGCCCCCAATCTGTCGCTCGCCGTTCTCTGCCTGCCCCCCTTCATCCGTGGTGGGCTTTCTTGCCTCCCGCACAGTTCTACATGGTGATGTGCATTGTCTACGTGCTGTACGGGGTCCTGTGGCTGAGCTTGCTGGCCTGCTACTGGCGAGACATCCTGCGTATCCAGTTCTGGATCGGAGGGGTCATCCTGCTGGGTATGCTGGAGAAGGCCGTCTTCTACGCCGAGTTCCAGAGCATCCAAAGCGAGGGCGAGTCAGGTGGGTGGAGGCCCGCCAACGGTTGTTGGGTGGGGCGATGGCTGTTCCCACTTGCCCAGTGCAGTGCCCTCTGGGCAGGCTGGACTACAACTCCCATCACCTATTGGTCACACTAAAGGGCGATGGGAGTTGTATTCCCATGGATCTGGCAAGCATTTGGGCTGGGGAGACCCAGGTAGGTATGGGCTAAGTGAAAAGTTTTAGCCATTTACACAGTGATGGCAGGCTGTCCGGTTCCCCTCAGTGTTTTGGAGTTGGGTGGGCTTGGTTATTGGCTGGGGAGGATGGGAGTTGGGGTCCTTTTCTTCCATAGGGCACCCATTTGAGTTGGGGGGGTGGCTTCCTTCTGCAAAGGCGGGGCCCCACCTTCCCGTTACCGCGCCCAGAGAGTGATCCTCCGTCTCTTTCCTCCCTTCTCCAGTCCAAGGGGCCGTGATCTTCGGAGAAGTCCTGTGTGCGGTGAAGCGGATGCTGGCCCGGGTTCTCGTCATTATCGCCAGCCTGGGATACGGCATTGTCAAGTGAGAGGGGTGGAGGGGCTGCGGACTGGGGAGGGAAGCCCAGTGCACAAACGGGTGGCGCGAAAGCCGGCTGGGTGACTTTGGGCCAGTCGCTCTTTCTCAGCCGGACCACCTCACAGGGTTGTGGCAGTGGGGAAGAGAGGAAGCAGGAACACGATGCACGCTGCCGTGAATCGCACAGAATAAAAGCAGGCCATGAAAACCGTCATCTTCCAAAGACCCTCTGATTTACTTATTTTCACATTTATTTAATGAAATGAACCAGGTGTGACTCAGTCAACAACCCTTGTCATAGTGCAATGTGTGAACCAGGTGATTTTGTTTGCTTTTTGCACAAACAGCCCCAGTTCAGGTTACTTGCAGGAACAATGCTCTCGCCCACCCTCATTTGCTTCTGTCTCGCAGGCCGCGGCTGGGGGCCCTTCTGAACCGTGTGGTCGGCGTTGGAATGATGTACCTGATCTTTTCCATCATTGAAGGCGTGCTGCGGGTGAAATCAGTAAGGGGGAAGACCTCAAGGGGTGGGGGGGAGGGAGCATTGCCACAGGGCCAGCTGGGATCCGCTCTCTCAGCCTCTGATTATTCCCCCACCCCAGGAACAACCTAACACAGTCACCCTGGCCTGCGAAATTTTTCTTGCTTTTGTGGATTCCTGTATCGTCTGGTGGATATCCTTTACCAGGAACTGGTGTTTCTGCTCACTTTTCTTTGTTCCACAGTGTCCAGGGATGGGGATGAGGAGGGGAGAGAGAATCTGGCTTTGCAAACGGAATTAGCCACTCAGTTTTTTTAGGTGGCTTCTCGGTCAGTGAAAAAACATCCAGAAGTTACCAGTGGTCATAAATAAGCTTACTGGGGACTAACTGGAAAACAAAAACCAGAGTCGTGAGCTTGTTTTATATGGGGAAGAGCGTCTTGAGCCCCCGTTCCCCCGTCTTTCTCTGTCGCTTTCCCCGCCCGGTCTGACGCTAATGCAAAACCTGGTTCTCTGCCGCAGCCTTTGGAAGGAATATCCAAGGTCTTACACAAACCTAATCAGTTTTGCTGGGTGCAAAAGCAGGTTCAGGTTGCCCTGAAGGTGCTGGGTAAAAAAAGATAACATCTTGGGGGTGTCTGCCCCCCCCACGGCGCCACAGTTTTTTTACTTTATGCATCCGGAGGGGAGAAGCACAGAATGAGCAAATCAGGCCTCACGATCGGTCAAAGCATGCTCCGGTCCATCAATGGGAACTGAAGAAAACAATTCTTACACCGGCAGAGGATGCTGCATGTTTAAATGTAAATCCTAAACATAGGCTGGGTTTGGCTGGCCTTTGGATGGTCTGAATGCGTTCAAAGAATCAATTAAGGACCTGCTTCGATACGAACCCCGGCAGTTGGAAGGGGTATGTTGTTCCCCTGTTTTCAATCTGCGCAGCTCACAGCAGGTATTACCCCACTCCCTACCAAATGAGTCCCTTCCCATTTTAGGTGGCGGAAGATCCTTAGTTTGGGGTTTCAGAATTCCTCCCCTGGACAGTTAAATCTGGTATTTTCCAAAACGTGCACGCTGTAGGTGGACTCCGGTCTCCAGTGTGCGCGGCACATTGACGGGCTGGAAAGCCGCAACCCAGATCTTCCTTTCCCCCGGCCTTCCAGCATTTCCCCTGTAAGCGACGCCCCCGCACCCTCAGGGACCAGCCATTACGGACCCGTGCTTTGGCCCTCGCAGTAGCCTCTTTCTCCTCATGCTGCCTCTCCGTCACTTCTCTCCCTTCTCTCCTCTCTCTCGTTTATCCCAGGCACAAGATGACTTGGTGCTGCTAGCTGCTATTCCCCTTGCTCTGCTTGACTCTGCTCTCTGCTGGTGGATATCCTCTGCTCCTGGCCCGCCAGGCGGGGCCCCTGGGCTCCTCTTCCTTGCCCCCTTCCCCCCCTCCTCCCCATACAGCCTGTTGACGTCGGAAAGAGCACCCCCGGCTGGGCGAGGCGGGACAGGCTCCGCTCACCTTGGGCTGGGGTGGGAGAGGCTTTGCTGGGCTCTCTGGACGCCTTGATGGAGCCAGAAGCGGGGGGGAGGCGGTGAGGGGGCCAGGACGCCGGCTCTGCCTGGGCATTTGGAGGCCCAGAAGCAAGGGATGCGGCGAGAGGGGTGCCGGAGGCCGTGCCGGGAGGGAGATGGAGGTTCTCAGATGCAGATTCAAGCCAAGCGTTCAGGACCACACCCACGCACGTGTCTTCCAAGCGGTGGCCTGGGGTTGTTGGGGGTGCAGGTCCCCCCTGGAAGGCACCAGGTTTGGAGAAAGCCGCACTGGAGGGTTTGGGGGGTGTGGAATAGAGTCGTCACAGTGCAGGAGGTCTGTGCCCACCGACCCTGGCTTGAGTCTGAACCACCAATCCACGAAGCGGTCCTTTCAAGGTTTCCCTTCTCCTGGTGGGGGCCTGTCTCAGCATCTCCCCCCACTTCCCACCCCACAACGCTGTTCTCCTTGACCGGGGGCACATCCTCATCAGCCTGGTGCAAACCATGAAGCTGCTGAAGCTGCGGAGAAACCTGGTGAAACTCTCTCTCTACCGCCATTTCACCAACACCCTCATCTTCGCTGTCATAGGTGAGACGGGCCCTTGGGGCTGCTCTGCAGGGGGGGCGGGGGGCAGCACTGCCTTCCTGGTGCCCAGGTGGGGGGCAGCTTCTCACTGGGGGTAGGGCTCGCCTTTAAAGGGGGGGTTACATTGCAAAGA